GATAGACAGGGCATATTTTAACAATTCGGTCGTACGAGGTGCGATCGGAAAGTTTCAAGACTGTGTCAATAGAGGGCGAACCGGATGTAGTACGAGCTTCTGCCGCTAGGGGGTGCGGCCTACATTCATAGTGAATCAGTGTGCCAGCCGGCATCATCGAATTAGCATTTGTTTCTTAGTTACGGGCGTTTTGGTAGTGCATTACACCGACCCTCCTGCGATTTCGGAATGGCGTGTGCATCAAATGTTGCCAAAGAGCAAGCATTTGGGGAGTCCGCAAACTTTTGTGTGGCATTCACGTTTTAAAAATGGCCGAACCTCTGTCGATGATGACGAGCGTTCTGGACGACCATCTTCGAGCACAACGCCCGAAAATGTTACGAAGATCGACGTCGTACCATCAACGACTTGTGCGACATTTTTGGGATAGGCTATGGGACCTGTCAGCTGATTCTGAAGGAAGAACTCCACATGCGACGCATCCTGTCTGAGGCCCAGAAGCAGAATCGACTTCTCGTTTGTCAGGAGTTTAAAGATCTTGCAAGAACCGACCCCAGCTTCCTTTCTAAGCTCCGTGTGACTTCTTCCTCTTCTCAAAGATGAAAATTCAGCTAAAGGGAAGGAGATTTGAGACGATAGAAGAGATTCAGGCAGAATCGCAGATGGTGCTTGACAGGCTGACAAAGAAAGATTTCCAGGGATGCTTCCAGGCTTGGCAGCGGCGCTGGGATCGTTGTGTTCACTCCCAGGGGAACTACTTCGAGGGTGATGGATGAATTTAATATCTGAGATAAGTGTACGGGTTTTTATAGGCGCAGTCTTGAAATTTTCCGATCGCACCTCGTAGAAGCTGTCCTGGGATTTGATTTCTCCCTGTACAGTATTCGTTTACCTCACTCTTCTCATTTGTCAATTATCAGCATATGACATTTTAAGGTTAAGGGTTCGTACTTATAAATAATGATCATTTCATAATATTTTATAACAATTAGCAACGTTTCGGAAGAAATTTATACCTGCTCGAACACTAATCATTATCTAAGATACGGTGATGGTAATACGTATTTTAAAATGGTTATTCTGGACAACATAACATTTGATGCTACAAAATGATTTGTCGCTCATCTCTAAGAAACGGAAGCTAGGCACAGGATTCGATGTCGCCATTTTCCTATTTTCAATCCCACAGAGTAGCTAGGATATTTTCTGGCCATCTGCTGATGCATGTTTTATGACTGCCATGAAGTAACGTTATTAATCCATCCACCTCATAATTTCGCGCTGTCGTGCTGAAATTATTTTAATAATAATAATAATTTATTAAATTTTCCTTTGCCATAAGCCCGCGGTCTCTTAACTTCTGCTTTTTTTAGACTCAAGGCATAAAGCAACGAAGTACAATTTGTTTCCCTCAGGACAGTTACTGGCGGTTGTGATAAATGGCGTTCAGAATCTCACAAATCCTCGTGCATGGCATCAACAAGAAGTTGTTACCACGCCCGCTTCATATTCTGGAGGTCCTCGGTTCGAATATCTGCCCATCTGTATCCTTACTCCCGCCAGGTGGGCGTATATGCTATTACAGCATCAGAAGACAGTGTCATGACCGCTTCCTTCCACATCCCTTTCAATTCATCCTTCCTACGGCGCTATACAGGACTACAGGCCTGTTTTAGACACAGTCTACTTCTTTTGGCGCTGTAGAATGTGAATATGAACTTCCCAGTTTATTGCAGGGTAAACGATTTTTGAGAGACAGAGCAAAGTGAAATTTGAACGTCAACCTACCCCATAATCTTTATTTGGACATAAAAGTTTGCTGGGAACTCTAAATTACCCTTTGCTCCGAAATGTCAGAACATCAGAACAATTTTACCACTGTTCGATTCCCGGCCGGTACAGTTTTCTTGTTCAGAGATCAGACTATGGTAGGGCCGCTAACATACGCCCAGATTTATATTTCCAAGATTAAAGTTATCAGTACAATGAGAGTCAGTAACCAGGAGACAGGAGTAGAATCAACTCCCGAAACGTCGTACCTTAGTCAACACGTGATGATCATATTAAATGTAAGATTTGAGGTTTTTCACAGCGGTGAGTATGAAGATTTCTGTCCTCTGGGTTGTTGCGCTGTGTAGTCTGGTAGATGTTTACCAACGTTTCGGAGGTCATACTGCCTCCGTCATCAGAGTATGAAGATTTCTGTCTTCTGGGTTGTTGCGCTGTGTAGTCTGGTAGATGTTAACCAACATTTCAGAGGTCATACT